GAATTGTGTTGATTTGAATTATTGACAATAGTAATTTAATGAATCTGAATTTTTATATTACGTTAAAAAATGTTTTGAAGTTGAATTTCTTAACTTGAATTTGAATTTCTTATTTGAATTTCATACCTTGAATATAGAACATCTGAAATTTACGAAACACCAAAACACATTTTTTGAGCTGTTGACAGTTTTATACGTGTCCCACACTGCTAAAAACACTATTAGGACACCTATATTTCACAAAAAAAGTGAAAATTGGTTGTTTTTGCATTATTTCGAGCAAATTCGTACTTCCGGTTTGAAAGTAATTTTTGAAGCTGCGTCACGGTCATGAGATCTTAACGTGTATTCCAGCGTGTAGACTGGACGTCATTACCAAGGCGTCCCGTATTACATCTCTGAGTGCGCTGCATTCATTCATGAGTAAGGCTTGGTTCAAATCAATCAGCGCACTCCATTATTTATGCGCTGCAACTTAATTAATATGCATGCTAGCTGTCTTAGACTGTATCTGAAACAGTGTTCAGACGGCAGAGAGACAACATGTCGTGTTGCCAAAAGTTGTGGGAAAAGAATAAGAATTGTTTGGAGATACGGGTAGCCAGTATTGCTTTAATAATGTGAAGGTTTTGTTTTCATTTTCTCTCTATGGGACGCTGCTAGACTCATGCGTGGATCCGTAGACGCGACACACGGCAGAAATGCATTTGTATGGAACATTTTTTACTCGAGAGCATTTCTCATCTATGGTGAGATCCGGATTTGCTGCTCGTCTCCTTTAAAAAAAGACGCAGCTCCAGTATGTGCTGATTCTCCTGTCTACAGATTTGGTAAGTGTTTGCGATCAGCGCCCTTTCTTTGTTCGTTCAGATGGCAAAGTTATAGTTGGTATGGTCAGCAGTACTCTTTCAGTGTTTACAGACAGACCTTAGTCAAAATGACTAAGGTCAAAAGGGCGACCATTTTTTATTCTACTCCCATTTTTATTCAAACCCTGCCCATTTTTCCTCCCCCTACACTCCCACCCTAACAAAGCTAGACACAACCACTTTCCTGACTTTTTCCAAACTAGAGGTGTGAAAACATCCTGCTGAAACGGGGATGGGGGGGTGTTTCATGGCCTTTTAAGAAACCTATTTTTTACCTAATTCCAGACCCCCCCAAACCCACCACCCCTGTATGCTTATTTCACACCGCCCTTTTAAAACACTAGCTATATACTTATTATAATTCTCTGGAATATAATGCAAATTAGATTGTAAGCACTTCTCTCTTCGTGTTGTGTCTTTTAGAACAAATACAGAAACAGAAGAAGCTCTGTGGAAATAGCAGTGTTTGGACTCCATTTTAGCTTTCTCTGCTATAACATTACAGCACCTCAGGCAAACTTAGTTTGCTATAGGTTTGGCTAAGCTAACTCTGTAAAAGCCAATCGCTCCTTTTGCATTGCACTTTGAGAATATCACATTCAGAGATGTTGTTTATGTTCCCACAGCTACATTACACATCAGCAAAAGTTTAACATACTATATGACATCGTAGTGGACCACCACTTTAAGCAAAGACGGCTATGAAAAACAAGTCTTTATTGTTCAACCTCTTGGTCTTTCACTTGACTTTGTTTTTAGATGAGAGTAGATGCTTTTATTGTTGCTGTTTAGTTTTTTTCTTGAAATCCTTCCAAACAATTTGTGCTGATTGTAGTTTTGGAGGCGTTCTGACCTCAGGACTCAACTGCTTCATTTAACCGACATAATAAAAAAGAAGTCATGACGTTTGTGTTTTAATGTAGTCTAAAGTTCAGGACACACTAAAATGACGGTCAGCCACTGAGCAGACGCCGTTGAGCATCTGTCGAGCTAGGATTTTATTAGTGCATTCCATACATCGACTCTCACAAAGTTAACATCAGATTGAGTTGGCCTGATTCAGCACGTAAATCAGCATCGGTCATTGGCAAAGAGAGCATTCTGATTGGCTCTTCAGCTATAAATCAAAGAGCAAGGAATAAAACTAAAGTCACAAAAGTAAGCGAACAATGAATGTCAAGAGGAAACACAAAGAAGCCGACTGTGATTTTGTCGCCTTAAATATTTGTAAGCGATTATCAGACACATTTTTACGAGTGAATCTCTTCGTAGACAGTGACAATTACTGTGAAAAGGCTACCAAACACGGCTTTGTTTACAATTTGGAGTGTTGTTTTTACAGTCTTAATTTATATGTTTTTAGTTAAAATGCTATTTTTATTTTTATTTTTATAATTTGACTGCATAGAAATATCCAAGCAATCATATAGCATCACACAAGAAACCATCCTGTATACCCTAATTGCATTGAAACACCCTGCAACCCCCTCTAAATCCTAGCAACACCATGTGCGCATCACAAGTCACGGTTTTCTATTGGTGCGTTTACATCCAGCTTTTTAATCCAGACCCAAACACAGTTGGTTTTCTCATCAGTTTAGTATGGCCCGTGCTCAAGGAGTACAATCTATATTCTCAAAATATCATAAAAACTTAAGGTGTGTGCTTACATTTTAATTAAAAATTTAATACAATGCAGTTATTACAGCCTGATCTCACAAGAAAACGTAGCTATTTTACGTTTTGCCCATTTAGTGGCTAATTTGTACGAGTTTGGTCATACAAAAATTTACACAGAGGTCGAAAATGAAACCTGACCGTCATTAGGAGATGAGCAAATCATGCCAAATTGTTGCATGAATAAGATCGTACAAAATCATACGAATGAATGTTTCATTCCCGTGAGATAGTGTTCGTCATTATGTACATACATGTTTTTATATTGAACTCCTATTTTAAAAAGGATCTGCTAGTAATAATTTTCTGTATTACATTTGAAATTGCACTGCTGGTCCATATCTTACCTTAAACCAATCTTAAACCTACATCCCAGACCTGTACCCAGGGCCTGAGCAAGCTGAACTAGCGCTCTAATTAAACATTGATCATGCCGCCCCCACTTGGTTCATGCCATCCTCGCGAAAATGAAGAGCGGAGAGAAGGGGGTTTGTCATAAATGGAAGTAAAGAGCAGGGGTTGGGGGGGGGGGTTAATTGCAGGGGGCTGGGGGCATGGGTGGGTGGTGATGTTGAGGACGAAAGTGAAGACCATGGTTGGGGCAGAGGACGCCGCCCTGACTACTCTGCCATCCTAGGCGGCTGCCCTGCCTAGGTCACCTCTATCGATGTGCCTGCCCTGCCTGTACCTAATTTGACCTGTATCCCACTTCAAGAGTACCAGAAGTGCTGTGAAATACTATATGAATACAGTGTTGTGAATATCAGCGATGTAGTCCTCGTGAACACTCAACCTGTCATTTACCCGAACTACATATCCCATCATGTCCCGCAGTTACACACCTGTTTCAGGTCATCTCTTGATGAAACACACAACTGAAGCTGTTCAGGACTGATTACATGGACTACATACACACAACTCCGACACAGGCTCATTCTAAAAACGTATTCCCTTGGATATTTCTGGAGGCCGTGAATTATGTAGACGGAGGTACGTATGGCTGCATTTCGTTTTTTTTAATGAACGCTACGGGGTGGTATGACGCCGTTCCTTTTGGCGCTTACTGGCTGACCGCTTACCTCCATGTGGAGGGCTTTCCCGCCGCAACCAGTTAGCTTGTCGTGTACGTCGGCGGAATTGAGACGCAGAGAGGAGTTGACTGCGACAATGACGATGACCAGGTTCGAGTCCGGGGAAGAGCGGTTCCAGAAATCAGGTGAGACAAAAACAGAATCCAAAAAATAAAACGAACAAATGAACAACAGGGTGAGAATGTGGTAAAATCCGAAAACAAGGTAAAAATCAGACGAGGGCTCTTCTTTTTCTGGATGGCTTTTGTAAACCGTCAGCTGGGTTTAGGGTAGTGAGCGGACTGGCGAGTCAATCGGTAAAATTGGCTAGGTTTGTTTTTCTGTTTATGTTTATTTTGCCACCTGCCTCTACTTGTCGCCTTTCACCGACTCCTCTTTGGATAACCTGTATGCTACCGTCTCTTCCTGTCTTGAACCTTGCCTGCTTGACAACTCTAATAAAAACTGCCTTTGGATCCGAATCCTTGTTGTCAATCACCATCATTACACACAGTAAATTAATTGTCCTTATTCTCTTGATGGAAGTACATAGTAATTAAGGCTACTTAATATAAAGTGTGACCAAACTTAAATTAAATGGGTTAACAGTAAATGATTATTTCTGTTGCGCGAACTAAGGGTGCTTTCACACCTGCCTTATTTAGTTCGATTGAATCGCACTACAGTTTTTTTTCCCTTTTGGTGCGGTTCGTTTGGGCAGGTGAGAATGCAGCAATCAAACTCGAGTGCGCACCAAAAGCGGACCAAATAAGCGTACCGAGACCTGCTTGAAGAGGTGGTCTCGGTACGCTTTCAAACGAACCCTGGAGCGGTTCGTTTGTGGTGAGAATATGATCCGTACTAAAACAGGTCCAACCGCAAAAAGTACTGCACGTTTTGGACTAATCCAGCTGCCATAGGCCGATGCGCTATGCATTATGGGATATAGAGGAAAAATATTTGTTGACAGCGCTTTACCAACAGAGAGAGAGAGAGAGGGGGGAAAACATTACCTGATGGATCATTGGTAATATTTACGCAAGATGACCATGTCGGGAGTTCACTGGCATTTTCCCGCACGTGAATTCTGACCAATCAATAAGCAGTTTAGGAAATATGTTCAACAACATCTGGCCAATGAGAGATGTGGATTTTGTCAGATGACTGCATTTTTTGGTTCGTTTCAACTGGTTCAGACCAAAGCCAGCAGTGTGGTGTGAAAACGACCCAAAGACGGCAGAAGATGCTACAATGTATCATTTATTACCCTTGGTCCAGACCAAATGAAGCGAACTACAGATGTGAAAGCACCCTTAGAAACCTTGCCAATCAGCACAAGTCCTAGAGTAATCCTGAAAAGAGTGTGTTATGTAAAATTGTGTACCGGCAGAAAGTCGCGGGCGGGTTCTGGGCGTCTGCATCTCCTGGCGTGCGTGTGGCAGCATGTGGTAACGTTTAGCTTCATTCACCAGGTCTCTGCAGGCCTCAGAGGATTTGATTAGCTCCTCGTTGTCCACCACATTCAGAAGGTAACTAGGATGAATGAACGGTAGCCGAACCACCGCCAACAGCTCCGAAACATGCTGGAAAACACAAGAAAAACACAATTGTTATATATTTATATCTTAAAAAGTCTTAAAATGTCTTCAATTTCAAAAACAAAAAAGTCTTAAATTGACTGAAATACTGTCTTGTAGGTCTGAAATCGTTTTAAAGGAGTCTTAATTTTCCTTTATGTAAAGCTACCCAATCCATCCAACACACATCCAATCACCAACAATACATCTCCATTATGCATGTTTTGCATACATTTGTGGTGCTGAAAAAAATGCATGTAAACAACTAGAGTCTGCTTGTTTTGACACATTAATTAAAGAATGTGGCTAAGAAATAACTAATTGGGGCAAGTACATTTTTTTCTCCTAGTCTATTAAGACAATCCTTAGCGTTAACCCTATATGAGGCTGAAATTTCATTCTTCATGGTTTTAAAAAGTCTTAAATTTGACTTGGTGAAACCTGCAGAAACCCTGTCACGGTGCTAAAAACACCAGTACTGATGGCCCGACATCTTAAAGGGATACTTCACGAACAAAATGAAGACTGAAAATGAAAAGTGTTGTAAACCTTTATGAGTTTTGTGTTGAACACAAAATAAGATATTTTGAAGAAAGCTTTGAATTGAATTGACTTGAATAAACTAAACACGCACACATACAGGAAGTCACTTTTGTCCAATTACAATCACTGTCATTGGCTGATGATTATTGTTTTGTGTGCAGCGATCAGCCAAAATAATGATAATAATAATAATAATAATAATAATAATAATAATAATAATAATAATAATAATAATAATAACATCAACAATTCTTCAACAATTCCATTTATATAGCGCTTTTCTAGAGACTGAAAGTGCATTTTATTTTCAAAAGACATTTAAGCATATATATTAACAAATATTATTATCATTATTACTAATTTATTTTATTTAAGGATGATTCTAAGGGCCCAAGTATTTTGGGGGCCCCCAGAGATATGAGGGCATCCGGGGTCGCCACAGCGGAATGAACCTCCAACTTATCCAGCAAGTTTTTACGCAGCGGATGCCCTTCCAGCCGCAACCCATCTCTGGGAAACATACACACACACACTCATACACTACGGCCAATTTAGCCTACATAATTCACCTGTACCGCATGTCTTTGGACTGTGGGGGAAACCCTAGCACCCGGAGGAAACCCACGCCATCGCAGGGAGAACATGCAAACTCCACACAGAAACACCAACTGACCCAGCTGAGGCTTGAACCAGCGACCTTCTTGCTGTGAGGCAACAGCACTACCTACTGTGCCACTGCGTCACCATAGATAATTACACATGAGTATTTTCCAATGAACGACTAAAAGACAGAACAAATCAGTGAACAAGGAAACATGTCCAGTTGGACTTGTAGCTATATATATTTACTAAGTCTGGTTGATCTGTTAAAGCCACATAAAGCACAAGGTCAACAGCCAGAGTCAGATCACACCAATGTTATCAGAGCTGCTCAGTTTTATTTATTTGATAAGCGGCTGTTTGAACAGCTTGACGTGCAGGTGATCCTTACAAACACCAACGGTTTCCATAGTGAACAATCCCAGAGTGCCTGTGCTCTTGTCCAGTGCATAACAGTAAATCAAACAACCAATAACACAAAATGCAAGCAAAATGCAGCACCAATAGCTTGGAATTAATTACAGGTATTAATTTTTAATTTTTTTTTTACCAAAGATTAAATATTAGGCGTTAACAAAAACACCAATTGACCATAAACCTCTGGAAGCTGGATAATTGCTGCTTACAGCTATATTCATTTATAATACTGCTCATCACTGGTACATTATAAATATGGGTTGGCATGATGGCTTAGTGGTTTGTCACAGCAAGAAGGTTGCTGGTTCAAGTCCCAGCTGGGCCAGTTGGCATTTCTGTGTGGGCTTTGCAAGTTCTCCCCGTGGTTTGTTTGTATCGGTTTCCTGCAGTCCAAGGACATGTGGTATAGGTCAGTTGGATAAACTAGACTGGCCATAGTGTGTGTGAATGAAAGAGTGTGTTTCCCATCACTGGGGGTTCAAGAGTCAGATTGTACTCCCAGGGCTGAATTGCTGAATTTTCTTTCTTTCTGTTGTTTGTTTGTTTGTTCATTAGTTTTCTTAATTTCTTTTTCTTTCTTTCTTTCTTTCTTTCTTTCTTTCTTCCTTTCTTCCTTTCTTCCTTCCTTCCTTCCTTCCTTCCTTCCTTCTTTTTTCTCTCTTTCTTTTTTCTTTCTGTTGTTTGTTTGCTTGTTCATTAGTTTTCTTAATTTCTTCTTTCTTTCTTTCTTTCTTTCTTTCTTTCTTTCTTTCTTTCTTTCTTTCTTTCTTTCTTTCTTTCTTTCTTTCTTTCTTTCTTTCCTTCTTTTCTTTTCTTCCTTCCTTCTTTTTTTCTCTCTTTCTTTTTTCTTTCTGTTGTTTGTTTGTTTGTTCATTAGTTTTCTTAATTTCTTCTTCTTTCTTTCTTTCTTTCTTTCTTTCTTTCTTTCTTTCTTTCTTTCTTTCTTTCTTTTCTCTCTTTTGTTCTTTTTTTCATTCTACTGTATATTTGTTCGTTCTTTTGTTTGTTTATTTGTTCTCTCTTTCTTTTGTTCTGTTGTTTTCTTGTTCATTTGTTTGTGTTTCTTTCTTTTGTTCATTTGTTCTAATGCTTGTTTGTTTGTTTGTTTGTTCATTCGTTTGTTTGTTCTTTCTTTCTTTTTTCTGTTGTTCTTTGTTCCTTTTTTTCTTTCATTCTTTTCTTCGTTCTTTTGTTTGTTTAGTCGTTCTTTTTTTCTTTCATTCTGTTGTTTGTTTGTTCTTTCATCCGTTTGTTCTTTCTTTCATTTTTTCGTTTGTTTGTTATGTTGATTGTTTGTTCTTTTTTATTTTGTTCTGTTTGTTCATTCATTCATTAATCAGTTTGTTCATCCTTTCGTTCGTTTATTTGTTTGTTTGTTTTGTTGTTTACTCGTTCGTTTGTTTATTCGTTTGTTTTTTTGTTTCGTTTGCTTGTTCGTTTATTAGTTCTTTCTGTTGTTTGTTTTTTCATTCATCCTTTTTTTTTCTTTTTTCTTTCTGTTGTTTGTTTGTTCAATCATTTGTTCATCCGTTTTTTATTTCTTTCGCTCATTCATTCGTTTCTTCAGTTTTTTCTTTTTTTTCTTTCATTTGTTTGCTTGTTCTGTTGTGTTCTTTCTTTCTTTCTTTCTTTCTTTCTTTCTTTCTTTCTTTCTTTTTTTCTTTCTTTCTTTCGTTTTTTTTCCGTTCTTTTGTTCAGTTTGTTCGTTCTTTCTTCCATCCTTTAAAAGTGATGTCGCGTCTTTGGTTTTGCACTTGGGCGCACACTGCACTCACGGTTCAAGCATACCGCACTACAGCCCAACCGAATTGGCACACCTCTTTCAAACGGGCCAGGGCTGGCCTACTAAACCCCACCCTGGCACGATTCCGAGCACTCACAAACCAGTCAAACGAACCAGGAAATGGGGGAGAAATAAACAAGGGCACAGCTCAGATAGCCTAGTGCGAGTAAACCCTTATTTCCATTGTGGTCCTTGATGTGAAGTACAGGTTATAATACTCCTGGAAACAGGTACACTGAGATACTACATTATAAAAGTAAATACAAGTAAAATAACATTACAACAATAAAACATACTGTAAAATCCATCAACATGCTATTCTGCTTAAGAGCCAGCTAAAAGTCACCACATTAAACATATGCCAGTGTACAGTAACTGGCAGTTCATTCCGCTGTGGTGACTACAGATAAATCAGTGAATAAGCCAAAGTGAAGTGAGTGAGTGATAATAAATATAATGTGTTATCAGGGCTGCTTAATAGATAAGTTGTCGATTGCATCAGCAACTTGATGTGCAAACACACTTCACCAATGGGTTTTGTAAACATCCCAGCATGCCTTTGCTTTTGTCCACTTCATCTCCAGCGAGACTAAAAACAGCAAAACACAGGTTTCAAAGCTTCGCCAGCACTTCCAGCAAACCACTGAAATCTGCATGCAGGAGCGAGCGGATGAAAGGTCAAAGATTTACTAGCACCAGTGGTGGCATTTTACTAAAGTCCCCAGTGAGACTGGCAAAATCTGCAGCACCGCATTCACACACTTTATCAATCTGCCATTTCAGGTAGGAATTCAAAACCAGTCTTGGTGCGAGGACGGATCAAATAAATGAAAAACGGTATCTGAAAAAGGCTTTTGGAGCAATCTGGAGGCCGGAGGAATCCCTCGGGATTACAGGCGTTTCTCCAGTGCTCAGGCAATCAGGGCTTATCGACTGAATGATCTAGGAATCCAAATGCAGCTCCGTTCGCCACTCGGCTGAGCAGATCCGCAATAATGTCATGCCATGAGGGAGTCTGAGTACGGCATGCTGAATACCAGATGAAGACTCTGAAATACACTGATGGATGAATCACTAAACGCAGCGCTTCAGCGGCTGACCTGCGGAAGGCTATGAAGATGGAAATGCAAGGTCAGAAAACATGGAGGCTTTGAGTGCAAACATTACTGTTCTGTTGTGAAGCAATACAATCTTATGTGCTTTAGCTACTGAGGATAGAATAAAACACATGAATTATCCTATTTTTTTTTTACATGACCAGACACAAGAACAGAATGAGAAGCAAACAACGCACAATGGATGTGTGATTCATAGTTTACAATAACAGCAAAACACATGACCAACAGCAGCAAAACATAGTCGATAAGAACAAAGCATACAACCAATAACAGCCAAACACAACCAATAAGATCAAAACACAAACAATAAGAGCAAACCACACAACCAATAACAGCAAAACGCAACTAATAACAGCACAATACAACCAATAAAATAAAAACACTAAGGGCTCTATTTTGACGGTCCATGCGGAGAGCGCAAAACGCAGGGCGCAAACGCTTTCAGGGCGTGTCAGAACGCGTTTTTGTTAATTTACGGATGGGAAAATCCACTTTGCGCCGTGGCGCATGGTCTAAAAGGGTTGAGTTTATTTTCTTAGTGAGTT